TAAGGCCTCCAGTCCTTCACTAATCACACATGCACACACATTCATGCACATTCACATATACTCCTATGCAAAATAACTGAAATGCATACAAGAAAATTAGTCATAAAGTCCCTACCTACAGCTTCTTCACCAAGAAGCTCAACTAGACCCTAAGGCCCTGCACGAACCACAGACAATGGACAACAAACTCTCTACAAACTCCTGCCCCACTCTCTCCCGTCTTCCCCTCGCCACTGATTTCTTCTCACTTCCGTAGTTTTCAGACCTATTAATGAAAAACTGAGTGAACCTAAAAGCAAATTCAATGCATTCTTCCACTTTTTTGTACCATTTCCCTGTATGACTTTGGAAAATCGACAGGGATTCTAGACTGAAGAGCTAGTTATTCAAGCCGGGAGAAATCTTAAGGCTGAGCTTAGAGGAGCAGCATCACTAGGAGACAGGCCTATGGCTTCCATCCGTTAGTTGATTTCACCTTCACTTCCTGATTTCACACAATAACTGGGGAGAAGGGAAAAAGACAGGTGGCGAAGAATCAGCAAACGACAGCGGGACTCTGATATCCTGGCTTTCCACTCTTCAGACTGGAAATTCACAATCACTTCTAACCTAAAAGTAACTCCGAACCCAGCTGGCAGCACCAGCACGGATCCCCTCTGCTGGGTTCTTTTTGCCTCCACGTACACCCTACTCCAGTGATGGCGAACCTATGACACACGTGTCAGAGGTGACACGCGAACTCATTTTTTTGGTTGATTTTTCTTTGTTAAATGGCGTTTAAATATATAAAATAAATATCAAAAACATAAGTCTTTGTTTTACTATGGTTGCAAATGTCAAAAAATTTCTATATGTGACAGGGCACCAGAGTTAAGTTAGGGTTTTTCAAAATGCTGGCACGCCGAGCTCAAAAGGTTCGCCATCACTGTCCTACTCCCAGCTTCTCTAGTTCATGCGTTAGCTGCCTCCACAAGTCCCTAACAACAGAACATGGACAACCACCTCTCTGCAAACTCCCACCCCTTTCTCTCCCCGGTTTTTTCCTCTCATTTCTCCTCTCTGAGCTTCTCCAGCACTCACAGTTTTACGTGCCTGTCTCACATACAACGTGTACAACACGAAGACGGGGGAAAGCGCTCCAGGCAAGCCCTGTGCAATGTGTGCACCATACCAGGCACACATTATTCGATCTTCAAAACCTGAATTGACTTAGGCATGGTTCCCAAAGCCAGCCCTCATTCCAGCAAAATAAAATAAGTACTGGGGAATTATTAAAGGGTGTGGTGGGTACTCCCCGTGCCAACTAGCACACACTCTCCCAGGGGGCTCTGCGATAGCACTCTCCGCTGCTGGGATAGGAACACGGGCTGAGGACACAGGGCAGGATGGCACACCAACAGACAGAATCCTCGGCATGCCACGTCAGCGCCCCACTCCAATCAACCAAACGGTGTTAGAGCAGCCCTCCCATACCACCAAGATTAGTGCTGTTCTGACACATGATCTGGCAGTGACCAGCTTTCCTCTGGAACCCATTCCCCCACCTCCCAAACGAAAGTCTCAGGCCTGAGATTTTTAGGTGACAGGAATGCAAGGCCAATGTGGAGCACCAACTCAGAACCATCAGCTACACTGCTACACAGAGAAACGGGGCAAAACAGAAACAAGTGGTCATTACTGAGCCTGCAGAAAGCCTAGGTTCTGAAATCTGTCTGCCTCAATAGCAAACAATTTCTCCATCGTAGTTCAGCTCTCTGAGGTGGGTATGTGACACTTTTTAACTTTTCTGCTGTGAAATATACCATGTAAACAAAAGAATACATTAAATACACATTCCGTTTAAAGAACAGCAAGATGAACACTCGGGGACCCACCGCCCAGGCTGAGAATTAACATTCCCAGCTCCTCTAAGTTTCTGTGTGCTTCTTCCTCATTATACCCATTCCCACCTCCCCAAGGATGACCATTCTCCTGAATTCAAGGCTCATTATTCCCTTCAATTTTTTATAGTTTTATTACCTATGAAGGTATTCATTAAAAAACATATGATTCAACTTTATATTTTCTAATTTTATATAAATTTACATCATACTGTAGATTTGTTTTCTATGACCCGCTTCTCTTGCTCAATGTTATGTTTCTGAGATTCGACCATGTTAATGCAACGATCTTGCACCCATCTTTACCTCGGGACAGTACTTCATTATAGGACTATACAGCAGTCTATGCTGTTAACTCTTTCTTTAATCAGACAGACCCACTGACTATGTACTAATGCAGTCTGCCTGCAAATAAATTCACGCCCTGTGAATTCTTGGTGGTTAAACCACGCTGGCTTCCATGTGGCAGACCAGATGATACAATAACTGGCGCTGTTTCACTCGATTATTCTTTTTGTTGTTGTTGCTAATCCTCACCCGAGGATATTTTTTCCATTGAGTGGAAAGGGGGGGGAGAGACAGAGAGTGAGAGAAACATTGATGTGAGGACACGTCGATTGGTTGCCTCCTGCACGTGCCCCAACTAGGGCCGGGGATGGAGCCTGCAACTGAAGTACCTGCCTTTGGCAGGAATCAACCCCCCCCGGGACCCTTTAGTCCGTGGGCCGACGCTCTAACCACTGAGTAAAACTGGCTAGGGCTCATTCGATTATTCTTAAAGACTGGACAAGATCTCACTGAGAGATGGAGCTTCGAGGCCTTGGTCAGCAAGCAAAGGTGCTAGATGAACTTGGGTAGATGAACACCTACGGTAAAGCCCTCACTCCGTTCCAGTTCCATGGCTTAATAAGGCAGGGGGGGAAGAGGAGAGGAAAACATTGCTTTGACATTGCAATCTTCACCTTCACGGCACATCAGAGCACCTTTGATCATGGTGAATGGCACCCAAGTCCAAGAAAAACCTACCCTTCAGACAGTGAAAGCTAAATATTTAGTCTGGGAGGCAGCAGACAGAAGTCCATCATTCTCTCTGCCCTGGCAAACCAAAGACAGCAGAGGATTGCCCTTGAACCCTGAAGGTTTGATTCATCACCCTCTTAACTGATGTGAATGCATCAGCAATGCCTCACTTCCTGGGTTGGGGGGAGGGGGAGAGGGGTGCAACAGACAGTCTCCAGAGCAAAGAAACCCCACCACTGTCACTGAACACTCCCAGTGCGCAAGGCCCTCAGACTGACACACCTCATCTCAGTTCATTCCTGCAATAACCCCATGAGACAGGTAATATCCCCCTTTTACACCTGAAAAAACTGATGCACCAAGAGGTTTAGTGACCTACCCAATACCCCACAGCAAGTTGTACTGGGAGGACTCTCATCCAGTCAACTGCCCTGCTACCTACCCCCTGTGTGTGCACACTGACCAGCAGCTATGAGGAAAGGGGTTCCTAGAGACACAGAAGATACTGCCTTCGGGTGATTCTTTCAAAGTGCTTGCTGCTGAATGGGAGCAGGTTCCATGTGAACACAGAATAGACGGCTGAGGCTGCAGTGGCGAGGCAGACGGAGGAGGACACCCATGCGGCTTATAATAGCTAGAAGGCGCTCTGCCCACCAATAATGAACTAGCATTGACTGTCTACCACATGTCATTGCAAAAATGCATCTGGCTGTCTGTTGAAGTCTGCCTGCTGTTTTAACAGTCAACAATCCTCCACACAAACAACAACAAAGAAGGGCTAGCGGGATACAGCGTATGAATTTCAGGGTCTCACAACTGGAGAACTTCAGAGAACAATACATAGGGCCAGAACTTAAGTCCAAACTTGTTAAGAGCTGGACTCTGCCTTCCCGCTCCAAATAAGTGTATCAGTTGTTTGACACAAAATGTCCAAGTCAGCTGCAAGGCCAGAGTGGTAGTGACCGGTGCCAAAGCTAAGAAGCCATCACTCTGAGGCTGAAATGCTGAGGTGTTCTCTCGGCCAATACTCGGCACCGACTCCTCTGTTTTCTCTAGTTCTGGGTGCCCATCACTCCTTGGTGGACACAGGTTTGCCAGTTATACTGTTGGTCCTTAATGCTATGAGACTTGAATATTTATCCAACCTATAAGTCACCTAGTGAGTCACAGAAAGAGGCAACTGGTCTTTAGAGCGTGGGGGATGCCACTGCAGATGCTTGGAGAAAAGCAGACAGGGAAACATACCCTGGCTTCTAATGACGCTACAGACAAAAGCCCCAAACACCCAACCCTCTCTTGCTTCTGACACTTGCCAGGCTCAAAACAACCAAGTCCAGAGAGGCTGATGGCTGTCCTCAGAGGAATCTTTCCAGCCTCTGTGGGTATTGGCTGAAATCATAAGGTTTCTCCGAGCATTTTCCCCCACACCCTGGGACTTGTTTGGGAAGATTTTGCCAGTTATTTGCCTACTCTCCACCGATTAACAAGGATTTACTGTGGTTCTTCTCCTTAAAATGTCTGGGGATTTTGTACATTGTAATAAACAGCCCCTCTCCATCGCCCTAATACACTTAAAACTATTCTTCTGCCTGGGAACTCAGTTACCGTGAAAATGAGTTTGCATTAACCCAGGTGTAAGATGGGAATGTAGGTAAATAAAATTTAAGTCATCCGTGATATGTATAACAAGTAAAATATAACTCAGACTCGAAGGACGGGAGATCTTAACCAACCCCCCAGAAGAGAAACAGAAAACGTCACATTACAAAGCAGCATTGCTCTAAGCATTTCTCTGTGTATCTTGGAAGGGTAACCGTGGCCGCTGCACCCGATGTATAAAAAGCAGTCAAGTTCTGTTCGCCAGTTCCTCTTATCCAAATAACCATTAGCCAGTTCCAATCTTCGACAAGCGACCCCTGACCCTTCCGAGAACCCTCAGTTTTGTCCTCCCCTCTGGGCCTCCTTAACACATGAGGTCAGTTATAAGCTCTCTGGAAATGTCCACCAGTTTCTAACATAAATCGTTCCTTGCCACTTGGCAGCGTGTTTTCAATGGCCCTACCCATCCTCTGGGCTCCTCCTCATCCACAGGGGTCTTACCGGGATCTCCCTCCAAAGCAGTTGGTGCTGGGGGACTGGTGCCGGCTCTCGGCAGTGACAGCAGTCCCGCTGGATTCTCTCGAAGGTGGCTGTGATCCTAGAAAGGGGATCCATCCCAAGAAAAGACAGAAACGTTGAGAAGCTCAACCTGTGCTTGAGATGTGGCTACAGCACAGAGCTCCCCTGTGTGTGACAGTTACCCACCACGTGGGACTCAGAGAGGCGAGCAAGCTGCAGCCGCCAGCACGAGAAGGAACAGGGGCAGTGGGTGAGATCTGATCAGGGCCACGAAACAGAGGGGCTCAAACCTGGGAAACAGCTCTTCTTCTCCAAGACCTTCAAGAATGTCTAAGGCACTTACACCACGAAACAGAGGAGCTCAAACCTGGGAAACAGCTCTTCTCCAAGACCTTCAAGAATGTCTAAGGCACTTACCAGCATGTTGCCTTACACAGCACATGAACTTCGGCCATCCACGTGAGGCAGAGAACAGATGCTGACCATGCAAAGTGGGGGCAAGGAATTGGGGCATTTCTCCATGTCACAACCAGAGGACTTTTCTCTTTTTTTTTTTTTCCTTTCTTTTTGTTTTTAAATATATTTTTATTGATTTTAGAGAGGAACAAGGAATTGGAGCATTTCCCATGTCACAACCAGAGGACTTTTCTCTTTTTTTTCTCTTTTTTTTTTTTTAATATATTTTTATTGATTTTAGAGAGGAAGGGAGAGGAAGCGACAGATAGAAAAACATCAAGGTTGAGAGAGAATCATTGATCGGCAGCCTCCTGTATGCCCCACACTGGGGATTGAACCCGCAATCTGGGCAAGTCCCCTGACCGGGACTTGAACTGTGACCTCCTGGTTCATAGGTCAACACTCAATCACTGAGCCACACCGGCCTGGCAACCAGAGAGCTTTTCAAAAGCCAAATCAAATTCAATTAAAAATCAAATCATGATACTATTCTGCTAAAAACCTTTCCTTAGGATGGGGTTCAAAAGGATTTGAACCCCAGGCCTTCAAGGCTGTGTGATCTGAGCTGACCTGCCTCTGCGGCTTCACCTCTCACCACTCTCCTTGCTCCCCACAATCCAGCCACCCTTGCCACCTCTGTTCCCACACAGGCCAAGCTCACTCCCACTTCTGAGCCTCTGCACATGGGACCCTTCCACCTCTGACTCGGCCACCCCTTTATCCACACCCCCACCTTGGCCTGTCAGAACTCCTCATACTCCAGAGGTCTCAGCTTCCCCAGAGGAACTTTCCGTGCCCCTCCCCCAATTTAGATGAGATCCCCTAAAGTAGGAGATTTCATACTGCCCACTATCTTTCCTTCATAGCTTTTGTCACAATTATAGTTACACAGTTATTTGTGCATTTACTCGTTTGATGTTTAGCATCCCCTGCCCCCACCGAGTAAATTATAAGCTCCTGGGAGTAGACACCAAGTGAATTTTGCCCCTGCCATCTAGCTAGCACCTGGTCCAAGATCTAGCACATACTAGGTGCTCAATTACCTATACATGTGCTGTTTTCCTCCACGCACCAAAAGTACACAAGCACCATTCGGTCCAGCTCAGGGAGGATTCTCAAGTCAAGGCCCAACCATTCCCCAGGTGCCCTTGAATTAGAATTCCAATTCCACCCCCTTGAAGCTATAGAAAGCCTGTTTGGGGCCTGGAAAGTCCCTTAGTTACATCACATTTGACAAGAAAAATTATGGAGAAATCCAACCCATTATTTCTGACTTCATGAAATAATTTCCTGCTAGATCCAAGGTGACTAATTTCAGATTGGATTAAAAACAAACAAACGGCCCACATTCAGGGCAGAGCGGGAAACACTCTTCAAATTCCCTGCCCCTGTCAGTATTTTGCTAGTATGAATCTCTAAGACACAGAGTCCCCTTTCCCAGCAATAGCATCTCATAAAAGACACCCTCAAAGCTCGCCAGGAAGGTTAACTGCATGGGGGTGAGGAAAAATGGGCCCCAGTAACATGTAATAAAGACCTTCTATTGTCCAAAGCCCCTGTGGGATGAAAGGAGGTTTTTCTCTGCTCTCAAACCAAACACCACACTTAAAAGACGACACTTATTTTGGTCCTTTGTCGGAAAGCTGTCCTTGTAAAATCATGTCACGATTTTGATCATGCTTATGGACGCTGAAAGGAATCAGGGCTAGCTATGGGCCAGGGCTGGCTGAGCCGTACCCAAACCAGGGACCTGGAAGAGAACCAAACTCTGGGCACCTCCCTACCCCCCCGCCCCACCCCTGGGGAGCAGGGCAGCACTCACCGTCTGTCACGGCACTGCCATTAGGCACACTTCCCAGATCAACAGTCGGCCCGTCCAGGAAAATTGTCAGCTCACCGCCCGAGACAACACCGCCTTTGTTCTCCGTCTGCAGGTTCAGGGTCAGCTGTGTGTTCTCCACTGTTGGACACAAAAGGCAACGCGGATGGGAGAAAGCAAATGCACCCGGAGTTAAGATTCTGGAAGTTGTAAGCTCCCACTTCGCCTACTCTGGCTCCCCTGGCAACATTTTGCCGCAGCTTCAAATCTGCCTGTGGCATGGGAAACAGAACGGGAAGGAACATGTCTAATTGTCACTGTTGTGAGGCTGGTGGGGAAGGCTGTACTCTTCCTTTTCTAAACATGTTAGGATATTAGGTTAACTACAGAATTTCTACATTACTTGTTTGCTTATACTTGCAGGACCATAAGGAAAAACTAGAGATACTGAAGGCGTACAGAGGAAGAAAGTAGTTCCTTCAAGCAGTATCCCTCTACCCATATAGAGAACAGTGGCAAAAAGAAAAGACACAGGTCAGAAGACCCTGAGGGAATATCTCAGGAGTCATCTCTAGATGAACAATTTCAGGGGCTTATTCTTTTCTTATTTGCATTAAAAAGTGTGGTTGTTTTTTATTTTCAACTCTGAAAATGTTTCACTTTGAAATAAGGAAAACATTTTTAAACAATAAAAGTTCAATACAAGCAAGTCAGCCCCATAGTCATATGACGCGGGGTTAATCCGGGAAGGGGAGACCACTCGACACCTGGCTCTGTCACCGAGGTAGGAAGGCAGCTCACATTCACAGTTCCCAGAACACTAGGTGGTCAGCCCTGTGGGCAATCAAGACGAGCTGGGAAACCACAGCAGGAAAACAGAACAGACTGGCACGAGGCAGGCGCCCCAAACCCTAGGTGGGCTGGAAACTGCTACACACACACCCCGACCCCCACCACCAAGCTTGGCCACACCGTCCAGTTCCTGCTCAGGAACTGTAACCTCCAGGTCAGGGCCGTTCAATAATCACCGGAGACAGCAGCGTGTTTGAGGATTTCCAAAGGCTGTGCAGTCCTTCTGTGCCTCCCCCACATCTCACAAAGCCAGACCAGGAAAATGCCACGTACTCCAACCTCCCTCCCCACCCACCACCCACCACTTAATTTTATCTCTTAGTTGCTACTGTATTATTATAAGCTACCTCACTGGTTTTCTAGAACAAGGCAGGGTATCTATAATAATAAAAGCGTAATATGCTCATTAGACTGGACAGCCACACAACCTTCCGGATGACCTTCTGGATGAAGCCAGGGCTGCGAGGGCTAAGGCAAGCCGCCGCTGCTGCTGCTGGTGCTGCGAGGGCCGAGCCCCTTGCACGAATTTCGTGCATCGGGCCTCTAGTGTATAAATAAGTATCTCCAGGAGCACTTCCTAGAAACAACCTCCCCCAGTGAAAAAGCCTGCCCCAGATTTCTCTAAGGAATAGACACAGTTCTTTAAGAACTTAGCAAAAACAAAGTCTGGATCAATTCAAGGATCTAGTATAATAAAGTAGAAATCAGTTACCCTGCAGGTTTTCAAGTTCTCTCCCTTCCCTTAACCTCTCTTCCTGTAACGATCTCTGTTTGAGTCCATTGCTATTTTCAGTCAGTTTCACTGAGGGGCTTACTCAAATATTTCCATAAAATAACACGTGTAATGTGGAAACAAGTTCCTTCAAAAGTCTGGGCGTGGGGAGAAAGAACTGAGACCTACCCTGTGCAAATTCAGTGATGCCATGAGGAAGCCATCAGACATCCAGAATATGGGATATCTATACAGTAACTGTCCAGGAGTCTTCAAAAAGTCAGTGTTGTTAAACATGTTTCTTTCTTTTTTTTTTAGAAATGGGATGTGGCAAAGAGATTCTTCTAGATTGAAAGAAACATAACCCAAATGCAATGCGTGAATTCTGAGTAACCCTTGGCTTGAAAAAAAATATTCTGGGGGAAATCTGCATGAGACTGGATATTAAATAATGTCTGAAATTACCATTAATTTCCTTAGGTTTAAGAATGGCACCATGGTTTTACATATAAATGTTCTTATTCCTGTGAGACTCACGAGAAGATTAGAATGATATCTGCACTTAGTCTTAAATGGTTTTATAGAACAGGCTGAAGTTTTTAAGACTAAAGTGCCATGATATCTGCAAGTTACCTTCAAATGGTTCAGGGGAAAAAATGCACATTCCCACGGGCTCGCACGTATTGGTTAAACAAATGGGGCAAACTGTTAAAAAGGGTTGGGTCTCAGTGGAGGGCATCTGGGTGCTCATTGTGTTACTCTTTCCATTCTTTTGCATGTTTGAAAATTTCATAATAAGAAGTTGGGAAAAGGTTTTCACTTAATTGGCAAGGCTATTAAAAAATTAAACCTCTGAGAACAGAACACCCCATTATTCTCTTTCTTTAAAAGTAGCTGAGCCAGGGGAACCCTACAATGCATAACGGGACTAAAGGAGCCATTAGCTAATTGAGTGACAGACTGGAGCGTACAGGGGAGGCTGAAAGGAGCAAGTGTGGCTGGAAAACATATACTGGAATCTTAACTATAAATAGCAGCGTTAGCCACTGCGCCTCGGGGCCCTCAGGTTTCACTACAGCCACGCGGACAGCTCTACAAAGGGCCTTTCTCTTCAAGCATGTCTTCCCACTACTGCCTTTTGAGGCACTGCTCAAAAATCAAGAAACCGATGAAATAAATCGGCCTAACAGGTCGATTTCCATCACTAGAATCAGGTCTAGGAAGCTCACCAGCTACTCTCAGCCTCGGCAGGCCCAGCTCTATCTGTGGCCCCGCAGTTCACATGTGTGTACAGAGCACCTGCTATTCTAGTCACAGAGATTCGACAGGAACAAACAAAGAATCTGTGCTCGGGGCTGTTTGTTTCTAGTTAGGAGAAACAGGCAATGAGCAATGGTTTTTGGTGGTGTTTTGTTGTGTGTGTGTTTTTAAAGTAAATTGCATAATCTGTTAGGTTACAAATGTAGTAGGAAAAAATGAAACGAGGCAATAAGTAAATTGCATAATCTGTTAGGAGGTTACAAATGTAGTAGGAAAAAATGAAACGAGGCAAGGGATGGAGAGTGCCCGAGGTGGGAGGAGGGTTCGGGGTGGTGAGGAAGTCTCGCTGGGAAGGTGACAACTGAGCAAAGACTTAGAGAAGGATGAGGTTGGGGAAACCATGCAGGTATCTGGAAGGAGAATATTCTAGGCAGAAAGAGAAGGGAGCACAGAAGCCCCAGGTGAGAGCATATCTAGCAGGTGTGAGGAATGGCAGGGAGGCCGGGGTGGCTAGAGGAGACGAGGGAAGAGAGCAGCAGATGAGGACAGTGGGTAAACAGAGCCCACAAGGAAGGCCTTGGAGCCCTCGAGAGGTCTGTGACGTTGACTCTGTGTGAGATCAGAGCCCATTGGAGGGTTCTGAGCAAGGAAGGGACATGATTCCCATTATAACAATCACTCCGGCTGCAGGAGCAGCAAGGGCTGAAGCAGACGAGACCAGGCAGGAGGCATGACGATATTCCAAGTGGGAGCAGATGGTGGCTTGGGCCAAGGTGATGGCAGTGTCTTCTGGGAACAGGGTGCCTAAGGGAGACTCTACTTTGGCTTCCTTCCTAACACACGTTAGGGGGGCTGATGGCCCCCACAGAGCACATCAGCCAGGCCCCACAGTCTCTTGGAATCAAAGCTTTGGGCAAATCACAGGCAGGGACTGAAAAAAAGAGCCAACTTAAGAGCATGGATAGAGGAAGTCAGATTCAATTACAACCAAATGGAACATATATAATGAAAATATTCCGCTGGCAAGAGACTTCAGTTCCACCGAGAACGCCAAAGTCCTGAGCTCATGCTAACTTCAGCAATCAGCAAGCACACTTCTTCAGTTATGGGACTGTGCCCTTCTGTTCTGTTCTAAGTATCCACTGGTAACCAATACCTTGTGATGCTGCTTTATGGAGGTCAACAGACAGCGGTAGGGCTTGGATATTAGAATCCCAGGGAAACGAATTTGGAAAATCTCAAGGACCATGCCAGGAAATCGCTTCAAAAGCTGCCATACCGAGACAGACAAACAGACACTAGGTGCTTCCTGATGGAATCACACATCACCTCATCAAAAAGGGGGGCGGAGGGGGGTGGGGGAGAGAACTCTACATCAGATCAAGCCTCTAAATCTACCTATGAGTTTATAGAAAACACAGAGGGACAGAGGAACGTGCTAACCCACAATTCAGCAAAACCCCAAATGTGGGAAACTACAGGACAAACCATCCAGTTCCTCCAACAACAAATTTAAAGGGGTAAAAAAAAAAAGAACTCATCAGCTAAAAGAGCCTTAGGAGACAGTTCGCTCTTATTTGGATTCTGATTCAAATAGACCAATGGTGGGGGGCGGGATGGGGGGGACTATAAGACAACTGGGGAAATGTGAAAACTGAGTATTTGATGATACTAAAATAATTCCCATCAAAGTTTTTTTTTAGCTATGAAACTGGTATTACAGCTATGGTTTCTAAGAGCCCTTACATTTTAGAGATACGCACTAAAATATCTGTAGGTGAAACATGTCTGGGATTCGCATAAAAATAACCCAGTTAGGTGAAAGAGGAACACCCATTCCTCTCAGGGCTGTGGAGCTGGGTGGCAGGCACGTAGGGGTCCATGGACTATTCTTTCCACTTTTTTTTTTTTATGCTTGACATTCTCTGTGATAGTTTTCTTTCAAACCAGCACACCCTAGGCACAGAGACTATAAACTAACTTAAAAACTTACAAGAATTCAACAAAACTTATACAGTTTTGAAATACAAAAGAACAAAAAATATATCAGTCAAGATGCTTAGGGAATAACTCTTATTTTTCCTAACTTCAAAGCCTCAGATTTGCAAGTGGCTTCAGGTTAATAATTTCCTATTGGGAAGAGCTGTTACGTACAACAAGAATGAGTAATATTTTTTTAGGAGTTACTTTTTCCCTTTCTTGACTTGAACTTTTTCATGATTTTTAGGGTTTGTTTTTTTTTGCATATGGAACTAACTAGTATAGATAAATGGGACATGGAAGCTGCCTGCCTTGTTCCAACAAAAGAAGAAACTAC